GAAATATGTAGCTCTGTGTTTTTTATATTTAAAATTCCAAAAAATATTTTTTTGATATATCATATCGTGATTTTTAATGGATAAAATTCTGAAAAAAATTGTTCTCCTTCATCAACCATTAATTTAAAATAAAATACGTCATTAATTTCTGAAAAAGTCTTATAATAATAATATAAAAATATTTTTTCCCAAAAATGAATAAAAATGCACTGAAATTCAGAAATAAATTATTTTTTGGAACATCAATCATTGATCAAAACTAACGTACTTCACTAATAATTTCCTGGAAAAGTCTTAAAAAAATAAAGATATTCAAAAAATAAATAAAAATGCACTACTTTGCCTTAAAATTTTTGCTTAAATTCCAGCAAAACTATATTTTTTCGGTACTTTGATCAAAACTAACAAACTACATTAAAATTTTCACGAAAAAGTCTTATGAAATAAAATGTTCCTAAGAAATGAATAAAATTGCACTAATTTGCCTTAAAACAGTTTGGAGCTGTTTCAGTTTTTATGCTTAAATTCCAGCAAAACTAGATTTTTTGGTACATCAACCTTTGATCAGAAGTAACAACTACATTTGATATTGTGCTAAAGACACAATTCAAAGTCTTTTCCACACAACTGTATCATATTTTGTCATTTTAAGACATGCACAGCTCAAAAGTCATGTCGCTGTTTCTGTATGATATGGAGCTTGTCAAGCAATCACAGCTGCCTCTGTTCATGCCTGCCTTTTTCCCCTTTCCCTGTTTGGAACTGCCCCCCCTGCTGGCCTCTTGCTGATACCCTTTTAATTCCTAAAATGGTAACCCTTACCTGCAATGTTCCTGTTTTTTTTCTTCTTTTGTTTGTTCATTTTTTGGTCATTGCTTTGGCCTCTTTTTCTTTTTTCCTTTTTCTTTTCCCCTCTCACTAACAACTTCATTCATAACTTCCATCCCCATTCACCCAAACACTCACCCTGCTCCCCCCCTCCCAAAACAGCAGCCAGCAGATACTGAGCAGGGCCGCCGCACCTCCCTGGAGAAGTTCACCCGCAGTGTGGTAAGTCATTTGGCGCTGGGGCTTTTCATGTCACAAACCGCACTGGCTGCCTCACTATCAGTGGCTTTTGCAGTAACCATTAAACATTCTGTTGTTGGCTTTTAGACCTAGAGCTGTTGTAGGACGTGATTGTGTGACTGAAACAAACTACTACTCACATAAGTGGTGGCAGCTCAGCATCACCATTTGATCACTTGTCATTACTTTCAGTTTCGGAGTATAGTCATTTGTCGTTATTTGTTGTATTGACCTCACAGGGAAAGTCTTTGACGGGAAAGCGCCTGACTGGTCTGATGCAGTCGTCCTGACACAGACTCAGCTGGAGCGGCTCAGACAGACCCTGTCGGAGGGGCGACGGCCACTGGGCGATGGTGGCAGCGGTGCGGGCGGCGGAGCTGGCCTGGACTATTCTGCTGTGGCGGCTCACAGACACAGCACCGAGGACTGCTGCTGTGCTGATAGTGCAGCTTTGGGCCGGACTGAGTCACTGAGGAAAAGACAATGCTGACATCCGGAAACCTCCGCCAACACATCACACGGCATGCGTCAGTATACAGTGTAAGCACATCCAGACTAGGGCTGCCCTCATTTCTTCTATCAGTTGGAATGTCAACTTCATAGTTGTTGTCGTTTTTTGTTTTTTTTTAATTTATACGCATTTACTGTACTTATAATATTCTAGGAGATAAACAACATTTCCAGTGTTTTGTTGACAAACATCTTGTTTACTTCATGGCTGCTTAAATAAAAGCTCAAAGGTTTTTATGTTTTAAATATTCCATGGAACATTCAGAAAAGAGCAGCAATAAATAAGGCATGAGACCACTTTCTTTTTCTTAAAGTAATGCACCCAGCCTCTTTTTTATACCCTCGAAATTTATATTAATATTATATTACTATGTGTTTCTTATATTACACATGGCGAGTGAACATTCTGTAGGTTTGTCAACGTTGTCTCCACACATTGTTTGAGTTATAAGGGCTGACTGTAGCATTCACATTGCGCTGTTACGCACTATTAGGCCGTTCACGTCAACAGTGACAGGGAATTATTGATATACAAACTTGATTATTTTTGTCTAAAACTAATGAAATCACTGAAATCTTTATTTTATTTATTAAGACAATATTCACAGAACATTTCTGCCAATATGAGCTTATAAATATGTTTAAATTCCCAACAACAAAAGCAAAAATTTGGAAGTAAGTCCCTGGAAAATACAGAGTTTAGAGTTAGGGTTTAGATTTAGAGTTAGGTTAGCGTTAAAGTTTGAGTTTAGGTTCAGGATTAAGGATTAGGGTCAGGGTTTGGGCTTTAACAACTTCCAAGTATACGATAAATATCCCAAATGTTTAGCCTGAACAGCAAAAGTAATGATTTTTATTCTTTTTTTTTTATTCGGTCCTTTGATTTCAGTTGCCTAATGTCATTGTAAATACTATTAACTTTGTCTCCCTATAGTTTTTTTAAATAGGTTTCCAGGACCCAGACGCCATCTAGTGGTAGTACAATTACTGGCTCATTGGCAGATATTCCAGAGCCCGGTTGTATTTGCACTGCTAATTATTTCATCCAAGTTATAGAGTAATTACTGCAAACAAAGAAACCCATTTTGCTTGGTCAGATGTAAGCCATGTTTGTCAGTTTGAAGTCTAATGTTTTCCTAACTATGCTCAAAGTGGTGCATGATATTGTGTTGACTCAGTGAGAAAGGCTTTGACTCTCCAAACGACAGACATGCAGACAGATGGGGGGAAATCCCTGAACAGTAGCAACACTCCTCAGTGACTGAACATCACGCCTCAAATCGGAGCAGGCAGGACATGTGAGTAGTCATGGCAGCAGCACAATTAAAACAGTTACGGCCTTTCAGCTTTGCTGTGGATTCAGCATTTAGAAAGGCGCCCCACTGAGGCCAGGGGCTGCTATAGCAACAGATTACGCAGTTCGAGCGAGTGAGTCATCCCTTTTGTACTGTTTAGGGTGGTGCAATACATTGTACAGGTCGTATTAAAAAGTCTCATTATTATTATTATTATGAACCAGTAACCTCCTGATTATGAGTTAGAAATGCTCTATGTACCAAATGTTATTCTCAGCACAAAAACAATCACACATGTACACAATGCATTGTAGATGTTGACTGGTGACATTTCATTATTCCAAAAGCACACTTTATTATGATATGGGCACATAACTATGCATGTAACATAATCAGGGCATTTTTGTGCTTTTAGTTTCTCAATCAGCAAGATAACTCATAGCACTCCAGCACCTGTTATCTCTTCGTGGGTACCAAATAATAAAAGCTCTAGGCCTGTTCACTCCTCCTCACTGTCTTCTTTGTTGTCCTACTGTGTTTTTTTTTTTTTAAATCCAGTTGGTGTGAATACAACGATTGGTTTAGGTTGGAGTTTAGGTGGTGGTTCAAGATTAGGGTTATGGCCTTAATTTATATCCAATAAAGGATTTTGCCAAAAGATTAAAAAAAAACTTAAACATTTCTCAAAATACTCCAATTTGCAGAGGTGGAAAGTAAAGTATTACATTTACTCACGTTACTGTAATTGAGTGGTATTTGTGAGTAATATGTAATATTTTATGTAGTTTTAAGAGTAGGTAGTTCTTAAGTACAATTTGACTCAACTATTTTATTTCGCTACATTTGAAAAGAACCCGTCACTGAGTATAAATAAATAAATAAATGCAGGGGAAAACAATCTGCGTTAATTGAAAGAAAATTGCGGGCATGTATTTCCCACGTCGTTAATGTAGCCAGAGAACGTTGAATGGGAGACGGGCTCTGGTCTGTCATTAGATGATGGTTGGTTCCGAACCGGAAATGGAAGTTGAGGATTGCCCAGCATAGAGTTCCCGTGGATCAAAGAACTCTGCAAAAGAAAGATATTCTTCACCATATCTCAGCCAGCTCTTTGTTTTCAAATGCAAACGAAACGATAACTTTATCATGCGATACAAAACGTCCCTTTCTTAGGTTTTTGTTTTATTTTTCACAAAAAATTACATGGAAAATTCACATTTTGACAGAAAACTTTATACAAAGGTATCTTTAAAAATGTTCTCTAAATGCCCTAAGTTTATGAGAAACATGCAATCAAAGATAACATTTTTAAAAATAATTTTACAAAAATTTTTGTCAACATTTTGTAGTTTTTGACCAAAAATGACACGAAAAATTCACATTTTGACAGAAAACTTTAAACATGTAGGCAAAGATACAATTCTGAAAAATAATTTTACAAAACATTTTCATCAAAGTTTCCTATTTTTTGACAAAGAATGACAAAAACTGACATTTTGACAAAAACCTTTAAACAGAAAAAATTCAAAAAATGTTTTCTACGTGCACTAATTTTATGAGAAACATGCAGGTAAAAATACAATTTTGAAAAATAATTTTACAAAACGTTTTCGTCAAAATTTCCTGGTTTTTGACCAAAAATGACGAAAAACTGACATTTTGACAAAAGGTTTTAAACAGAAAAATGTCTAAAACTGTTTTCTAGGTGCACTAGTTTTATGAGAAACATGCAGGCAAAGATACAATTTGAAAAAATAATTTCTCAAAACGTTTTTGTCAAAATTTCTTAGTTTTTGACCAAAAATGACATAAAAACTGACATTTTGACAAAAACCTTTAAACAGAAAAAATTCTAAAAATGTTTTCTACGTGCACTAATTTTATGAGAAACATGCAGGTAAAGATACAATTTTGAAAAATAATTTTACAAAACTTTTTTGTCAAAAGTTCTTAGTTTTTGACCAAAAACGACATGAAAAACTGACATTTTGACAAAAAGTTTTTAAAAGAAAAATTTGGCACTTTTTATTTTTTTGGATTT